GATGGCGAGGGGAGACATTCTGAGAGCTCTGGCCGGGCTGTTCTCTTGTGTTTGAGAAGTTGGTGTTATCATATTTGTTGTCCATTTGCGGGCCAGATTTCTCAACGCCGCTCGACTGGAATTCGGCAACTGTCGGCGTCGAAACATTGGTGCCATATGATGAGTCGGTTGAACCCGGCGTGTTGTATTGAGACTGGTGGAACGGTGACGCGTGCTGCGTGGGTTGTTCCCTTGTGTTGCGTAAATATTGTTTCTGGGTCGGGTTTATAGCACCTTGGGCGTAAGGGCCAGTACTAGGTGAGATCCCCGAAGTACGGTCGTATCGATCGCCGGTAGCACTCCGATCAATGGAGTCAGTGATACTGCTTGGGTGGCGGTTTTCGGATTGCCTGGTGTGGTTCGCATTGTTGTAGGTACTGACGTTGGGACTGAGATCTGTCGCGCTTGTACCGAAGGCACGTTCGGTTGCTTCGACATTGTAAGATGGATCATCAATGGGGTTCATGATGTTGGCCATTTTCGACAGTCAAATCAGAGATGTACACGAGTGTCCTGTTATATCAGGTTTTGAGTCGGAGTTGAGGCGGGAAATATAGGCTTATACACTAGATATATATAATTGATTGTCTTGTGGAAATTGACCATTGGCATGGTCTGAAGGCATGACCGTTTAAGTATTTCTCAACCTCCCCTGCGTAGTGCGTGAGATGACGTCGATAGCAGTAGGCTATCTTGATTAAACCTGTAATAATCATGATATCTCACGATGAGCTTTTACGTAGTTGTGGATGTCGATCCAGACAGGGACCATGACGTAAGTCCATGGCCACGGTAAACAATTCGCTATTGATCGGTCCAAAATTCTAGTTAACAATTTCAAAGATTTATCAGTAAATACTAGCCACGGTGAAACAACATCATCCTAAAAAAGTATTACTGTCTAAATGTGGGGATTAACTCTAGCATGCTGTCATAGCTCCTGAGCTCACTTATCGACGTTGGGTTTCCATGGCCCCCTCCCTACAAATGGGATCGGGATGACGTGCATAGTAATGATTAGATACTTCAGTAGACTAGTTCATAGCATTATGTACTTTCATGTACTCCACAATGTGATGGAAAGGACATCTCGAAAGCCGAGATTGGAATAACCATCAGTCAGAAGGTTGTACAAAGTACAATAATTATTCGACTAACCAACCATCAGAGTCAATTACGTTGTAAGTAGGTGACGATTGAGTCTGAAAGCCACATGAGTATAGTTATTTGGTAAGTAAACCCCTGCCCTTGCTGTACTGGACCTGTGAATGCGAAGAGTGAAGTAATACCTCACAACATTAGAAATCACAGAAATTGGGGAAGCTTGATTGTATTAGAGGTTAGTGGTTAAATCATGCCAAAAGAAGTAGGTACGTATGGATCCACCCAACGCACGTACGTAGTAGCACACACGCGCGGCGCGCCTGGTTTCCCGCCAAAACAACGGGACGCGCAAAAACCTCCATGGTGATTGCGACTGTTTGCAATCTATTAAACAACCTCCCCTATTCGTCAAATACAACACAGGGCCATTCTCGAACTTGTCGCATACGTATCGCCTGTACACACCGTATTATCCCAGATTATACCTATTTCGAAGCCACAGAAGACACTCTGTAGGCGTTATCTGCTTACACGAAGTCCCGTTCCATACACAGGTCCTTCGTGTGGTTAAGCAGGGCACAGCACCAAATACAGGCCCGCCTTTCCCTCCACTTCGACCTTACCACTCACAAGTCTCTACAGTTCTAGACACAAATCGCAGAATGCCGAGACCGCCCACAAAACGCAATCGCTTGACATCTAAGGCTCCGCCAGCCGCCGAGAATGATAGTCAACAGGGCCCCGGACGGCATGGCATATCCTCAGAAGCAAATAGCAAGTTCACAGAAAATGCAAACCAGATCGTCACAGATTTTCCTGAGGTGGGCCAAAGCGGCCAAGCCTCGGAAATCAGGCGGCAATTGAGGAACCAGACGCCTTTAACGAGAGCACAAGAACATGCGATCGAGTCCTCGCCCATTGGGGACCGTGAGACCACAGGCAGTCGCCCGGCTACGAGAGCTCGAGGGTACTCGTCAACCCTCTCTGTTGTCGGGAGAAAGGGCGATACAGGCTCTAAAGTTCCAGGAACTCCCGCATTTGAAAGCTCGATATTAAGTAACTTTAGAAGGAGGCCCCGGCAGCCAAGCATCATGCAGATGATGCAAGCAGAGGACGGTTCCTCTGACCTTGATGATGATGATGATGTTTTCCTCGGTAGTTTGAGTCCGGAAGATGAGTCCACCCCTTTGAATCTCTCAAGGAGTAGGCCCCTCCCAATCCGACAAACTGCGTCACCATCGCCTAGGCATCCAACTCCGTCCAGTGACGGGTCGCGCAAGCGTAAACTGTCTGGCGAAACACCACATGCTTCTCAATCGGACTCGGAAGTTACCGAGAATTCTCCTGCTACATCGCCTACATCACAACGGCGACAAAGCGGGATTGGTGTGTCAGTTGGTCATACTCAAATCCCGGATTCGCCTGGTGCACTCAGCCAAACGCTGGCCCCTCCCATGAGCAGCAGCCCGCCACTCAGCCCGACACATACGGAGTCACCACGTGGATCAGCCCAGCAGAAGCATATAGACAAGCCAGCTGAGCCGGCAACCACTAATAAGCTGGTCTTACCAACGTCAGCCCTTCAAGATAGGCTTTTGCCTCGGAGAAACCGCTCACAACGTAAACGCTTTGGTATGGATGGTTCTGAGATCCGAGAAGATCCAATTGATGGCGATCAATCCGCCACTGAGCAGGATGACGACGATGACGAATTGTACTACCTAACGCCCAAACAATCATCCCGGGCACCAAGAAAGCGCCTGGTGGAACAGAAATCTGCAAAAAGTACCAGGACTGTACAGGGGGCGCAACCAATGGCAGATAGTGTCGAAGGACAAATAATAGGCGGCCAGCACCCTGCTGCTCAGCCGAATGCCACGGCCAAAAAAACAGGAGATAAAAGAATGACATACAGAACTATGGGACCTAATACAGAGAACGAGCCGGTCGATACATCACCTTTGTCATCCCCTTTATCGTCCCCGCCAGACTCAGAGGAGTCCGAGTCCGAGTCCACTGCAGAGTCTCCCCTGGGCAGCCATTTCCTTAGCGATGAATTGAGGTTGCAAGCAAAGAAGTTTGCGGATGTTGATAAATGGGAGTTAGAATTCGAAGACGTGGCACCTGACAGCCAAGGCAGTGAAGTCTTCAGATAGCGGACACCTCTATAATTGTTGCTCACGAGATTAGTTCCGATTAGTTATGGGATCAACTAGTTATCTAAGCGAATGGTCAGATTTGTCTGAGTAAGGAACGAGATAGCCGCGCTATTGCGATGATAACCGGCAACAGAGTCCGCCAAATTAAACCCCGCAAATTGACCCCGCCGAATTCAAATTCTTCGACGCCCATGGTTTTCCTCCTAACAGTCATTTGATTTGAACATCCACTTGGAAATCCCAGTCATGACTACCTTGAATTCCATTCTGGCAGGACGATACCCTGCCAAAGCCCATGCCCGCCGGGTTGCCGAGCGTCTTCAAGTGGGCGGCTCTGCCCGGCATGGGATTATTTACCTTGAAGCACAGAAAACTCGACTTATCGAGGATAATGATGAGGCGATGCACTTCAGGTATGGCAGCTTATATTAACTCTATTCCGATGCTCTCCTGTTGCCGCTTGATCGCTTGAAACTTGCAAAGCTAATCAAGCTTCATGGCCCAGACAACGCCGATCCTTTTTTTATTTGTCGGGCTGCCCGCTCCCAGATTCGTCTCTGATCTACAACATTGACTCTGATAAATTGACCCTGTTCATCCCACCAATTGACCCAGAGGATGTGATCTGGTCAGGTCTTCCCATGTCTATTGCAGAGGCACTGAGACTCTACGACGTTGACCAAGTGCTATACACTACCGATGTCAATGCCACGTTGGCCTCGATCGCCTCAGATGGAAATGGTAACTCTGTTGCCTTTGTCATCGAGGGCCAGATTACAGAAGGAATCAAATTCGACTGCTTTCACGAAACCAATACCTCGGTATTGAAGGGAGCCATCGACAGCACGCGTGTGGTCAAAGATGAGTATGAGATCGCGCTCTTGAGAAAGGCAAATGACATCTCCGCAAAGGCGCATATTGCTGCCATTGAAGCATCCAAGACCGCCACCAATGAGCGTGAGATCGAGGCGGCTTTCATCGCAACCTGTATTGCCAATGGTGCCCGTGATCAAGCTTACCATCCCATCGTTGCCTGCGGCCAGAACGGAGCCACTCTTCACTATGGAAGAAATGACGACAACTTGGATGATCCAGCCACCAAGCAGAGGAAATCTAGCGTTCTTATCGATGCTGGGGCGGAGTACCGAACATATTGTGCTGATATTACACGTGTTTTCCCTCTGGGTGGAAAATTTACCTCGGAAACACAGGAAATATACAAAATTGTGCTACAGATGCAGTTGGAGGCCATTGCAATGTTGAGAGAAAATGTGCAGTGGGAAGATGTCCATGCGCATGCCCATCGCATCGCAATCAAGGGTTTGCTAAAACTGGGGATCCTACGTGGCTCTGAAGACGAATTGTTCGAGAAGAGGATTAGCGTCGCCTTCTTCCCCCATGGCCTAGGCCACTACCTGGGTATGGACACCCACGATACCGGTGGTAACCCGAACTATGCAGATAAAGACGCCATGTTCAAGTATCTACGCGTGAGGGGCCGTTTACCCGCGGGATCAGTTATCACAGTTGAACCAGGTGTAAGATTTCCTCACCCTTTTCGATCTTTTACTTGCTAAAGATCCCTTTAGATCTACTTTTGCCGGTTCATCATTGATCCGTACCTTACCTCCCCTGAGACCAGCAAATACATCGATACGAACGTCCTTGAGAAGTATTGGAACGTTGGAGGAGTACGCATTGAAGATAATGTCCACGTTACTCAGCAGGGTTACGAGAACCTGACCACAGCGCCAAAGGCTATAGAAGAAGTGGAGGTTCTAGCCAATTAGGGGTTATTTGATGTATTCAAGGTTATGGCTATCTTGCTTCCTCATAGTCCATGAGATAAAGCACACAGTTTAGAGAGTCCTGTAAAGTTTGACTTTCGCTACGTACTAATTTTAGTAAATATACATCATATGTTGATAGGTAACCAGCAGAAGGCCAGGAATGATAGTGACTGCGATGGTAGCAAATCACGACTCGGAAAAATTCCGGAAATATGCCTCTGGACAGCTGCATAGAGCTGGCATCTGGATGGGCACCAGAGGCAAAGATACTCGAGATTGGTAGAAGTACCATAGTCGCACTGAGCCCTGCGATAAAGTGCAATATAGCTGAAGGTTGCCTGTGAGGCAATGCTAGGAGCTCGTTGGCGACAGATCGCGGGTAATTAGGCGAGTTCTCATGTTATACAAAATGACGATGTACCGCTTTGGCTTTCTGCTTGGAGCCGTGCAGAGGGTTGCGTCAATTCTTATCCCCCCTTATCCGGTGTAGGATTCAATCAAATCTCTAAAATTTTCGTTTACTATAGCCCACTCCGAAGTCGTTTCCGTCCGCTTCCTTTCACGGCCGACTCAGACTCAGCCTTGTCCTGGGCACGCTTCTCCTTCTGATCGAGAACAAGACTAAGAACATCGAAGCTGAATTGGGGAACCTCAATACACAGCTTTCGGAATTCCTCTTCAGCCTCGTGGCGGAGAATGTGGCTCCTCAGGGCCCAGAAGGTGGCCACTGGCTTTCGAATAGTAACATCGTCGACCGGAGTGTTCATGTAGACATAGCGAGCATATGCGATTTCTCCATGCGAGGTGCTGTTGATACGGTGAATCTTTGAGTGTGCTAGTGTTTTGAGCGCAGGGATCCCCAACTTGTCGGCCAAGGTGTATACTCGCGCATGCTTCAATAATTGTTCGCCACTATCGTCTATTTCGCCGGAGACTGCTTCTTGTTCGGTAGGTGTTTCGAGCTGGGAGGCCAAGTAATCGCGGGTATACTGAAATTGGAGGAAATAACCAAAGGCTTCCACATTCTCCTCGGGAAGCTCAATGCGACGCTATCGGATATCAGAGCGTGGCTATGCAGAAGAGTAAATCGCATCAATTACTTACAGCGCTCGATTCACCCAAGGCAGTGACCTTCTCTGCAAGAATAGGCGACTCCAAAAGCAAACTTTGATGTGCCGACAAGCCAGTTTTGCTCTCTCCAGTTCCGACGACCAGTTCCACGATAGGTGACTTCAGAAAGCTGGAATACTGTAAGTTTAAAAGATCATGTAGAGAGACAGAACATGCAGGCGCGGATATCAAATAATTGCATTGAAGAAAGGATACGGGCCCTTACTCAAGGAATTGGAAGCCAGGGTTTTTCTTGGGGGGTGCTGGTGCCGTTTCTGGCTCAGCTGCGCCCGCGTCTGGCAGATCGATGTCTTCAGTGGAGTCTGCCTGGCCTTCGTTCACACCACTCGAAGGCGCAGTTACATCCACATCACGGTCGCCAGTTTTCTGTGTAGTGTACGTGCTTTCGCTTTCTTTTCCGACGTTCGAAGAGGTCTCCGGCGCGCCCACTTGAACCTGCGGCGCGTCCATATCTCGTAGAAACTTAGATGCGCGTTGGGATATGAAGTTCCAGCTACTGCGGCTAGACAAAGAAGGAAAGGGTAGGTATTTGAAAGGACAAGTAATCTGCGGCTGAGCAGCAGAGACCCAAATGCCTCAACAAGACGGATAGTAGAAGTGAACGAGCGGTTGTAGCTCTGGGGTCAGGACTATGACAGGAACCATAGTGTCAATCTTATCCGTCAGTACCTAGGTCACCTACTACTTTGGTACTAGTAGTACGGATGTGGTAAGGTACGGTTAGCAAGCTAAGCTAGGCCTGAAAGGGACTTTTGATAAACATGATAAGTAAGTAGTAGGTTCCTCTACAGTAGACGAAAACAACATAGTAGTCATTTCCCAATTTGTTCAGTCTGAGACATCCATTTGCTAGTACGTAAAAAAATATGCAAAGAAAAAAAGACTACATTTTGTGCTGTAGATAGTAGATAGGGTAGGCCACGGCTCAATGGTCCCTAGTACATGGCTTACCGTGCAATTGAATCGATTTGGTGGATTTGGGTTCCACTTGGGAAGGTCTTCTCCAATCTCCAAAGTATGGACTCCGTGCGGACTCCGTACCTGCATGGTAGGCAAAATCAGGCATTTAGCAGCGACTGAGTTCCACGCTTTACAACTCTACTCCGTACAACTCATGGCCACATAGGAATTATTAGTAGCACATCGTACTAGTAATACGTACCGGTTAAACGGTAGTTACTACCTTGCAATGGTTAGTGGTACTAGTAGCCCCTTCTGTTGCCAAAATGACGACTCTGTTATTCTTTGGAAGATGGCGTGAAGTCTTAGTCCTCGAGGATGTCTCTTAATTGACAGAAAAGTCTATCATTCTCAACATATCATTGATGCGATGTGATTATAGATATAAAATATAGAGAGAGAGACTTGTATAGGTAAACACGATTTTAACACCAAGAGTAAGTCCAGTTATACACTGGGTACAAAAGGGTATAAACAGCAAAGGAAGGCGGAGGAGGTAATACATAGTAGTATCATCATCATCAAGTGCGGGGCAGGAATAATGTCTTGGAACGTGAATGTAACAGAAATTGAGAAAGAGGCCCAACTTGGGAAGGGACCCGAGTCTTCCGCCCGCAGAAATCGGGTTGATAGGATGGTTTCCCCCCCTAGTAGTCCCTCTAAGTAGCTAAGCTAAAAATCCCACCCGAAATAATTACAATAATAATAATAAAAGAACGGTAGGAGGATAGCGAAGAATTTTACGTTCTCTTTTCCCATCCAGTCGTGCGGCCGGTAATATAAGAGGGGCACATGCAACCTACTGTTCCTTTCACTTTGTTCTGGCGGATTAGCTCCCCACGAGTTCCCAGCTTTACCGGTCTGAAGGCCAACGTCAACTTCTCGACTCAAGTCCGGTGGTCTTTCCGACTGCCCCAGATTCACAGACGTAGTATGGCGACTAGCATCAACCCCCCCAGGGATCCTAATACCCTGAGCAACTATAACAACTGGATATGCACCCACATCACTGCCAACTTCGACATCCTTTTTGATCAGAAAAAGCTCGTGGGAAATGTCATCCACAAGCTCAAGTCAACTACCAACGGTGATTCGAAGGAGATCATTTTGGACTCTAACCATGTCACAATCGGAGACGTCAAAATTGATGGCAAGCCTTCTGACTGGGAGCTTCTCCCTCCGTTGGAACCTTACGGCTCTGCCTTGAAGATCAAGCTCGATCAGGGAGTGAACTTGGACGAAACCATTGACGTTGAGGTACATCTCAAATTCCGAATACCAGATACCTTCCTCGCTGTTACCTGGCCTAACACTGCAGACCATTAGATCTCCGTTCAGACTACTGAAAAGTGTACCGCACTCCAGTGGCTGACCCCGGCTCAAACATCCAACAAGAAGCATCCATACATGTGTAAGCCAGTTCAGCCTTTCTCCCGCCCAATATCTGTGAGAATTCTCAGACCAGGCGTGATTGTTATAGACTCATTAGAGCTGCTTACAAGAGTCCAATATAGTTTCCCAGTGCCAGGCGATCCATGCACGATCCATATTTCCCTGCCAGGATACGCCGGATGTTAAGAGTACCATCGACTTCAACATCTCGTCCCCCCTTCCTGTGATTGCTAGTGGCTTGCCTGTTCGGGATGGCCTGGGGGTCTCGAAATCTGAGGGCAGATCTTTGTACCAGTTCCATCAACGTGTCCCAATCCCGAGCTACCTCTTCGCTCTAGCCAGCGGGTAAGCTTGTCGTCTATCTACAAATTCCCATCACCACCACGTTGGCTCACGAATGACAGTGACATTTCAGAAGCTCCAATTGGACCCCGCAGTGTTGTGGCCACCAGCCCCGACAAGGTCCAGGAATGCCAGTGGGAGCTCGAAGCAGATACAGAGAAGTTTATCGGTGCAATCGAGGTTTGTGAGCTGCCTGGTGCAATGGACCATCTCTGACCAAGACAGAAAATCGTATACCCTTACGCCTGGGGCGAGTATAATGTCCTGATTCTCCCACCAAGCTTCCCTTACGGAGGAATGGAAAATCCCATTTTCACGTTCGCCACTCCCAGTATTATTTCTAAGGTACGTATAGGAGCTGTCTTGTGCAATGAAATGCTGTCTGATGCTAAATGAGACGGGTTAGGACCGGGAAAATATCGATGTCATTGCCCACGAACTCGCGCACAGCTGGAGCGGCAACCTCGTGACCAATGCATCCTGGGAACATTTCTGGCTGAACGAAGGCTGGACTACCTATTTAGAGAGGCGGGTAAGCTTGTTTTCCCTGCCCCTTCCCGCCGGCTGAGGCAGCTAATCCTTTCTTTTTGCTGACAACGCTTCAGATTCTAGCTGCCGTGTGAGTTTAGCATCATGTCTTGCCGCTGTAACCAGTTACTAATCGAAACTAGACATGGGGAGGCATATCGACACTTCTCCGCCATTATAGGTTGGAAAGCACTCGCTGACTCCGTGGAGCATTTTGGGCATGACCACGAGTTCACTAAATTGATCACGGACCTCAAGGGCAAGGACCCCGATGATGCGTTCTCCAGCATCCCCTACGAGAAAGGATTTAACTTCCTTTTCCACCTGGAAACACTTGTAGGAAAGCAGAAATTCGACCGCTTCATCCCTCACGTGCGTTACCTAGGCTCATAAGCAAACCGAACCCACTGACTCAATTTTGATCTTTTAGTACTTTACGGTGTTCAAGGGGAAGTCACTAGACTCCTACGAGTTCAAATCGACTCTCTTGGATTTCTTTGACGCTGACGCAGAAGCGTCTAAACTACTGAATGATCTCGACTGGGATACCTGGTTCTATGCCCCTGGGCTACCTCCAAAGCCTCAGTTCGATACATCACTTGTTGATGTTGTTTACGAACTTGCCCAGAAGTGGAAGTCCCTTCCGGAGACCTCCTTCAAGCCGCAGCCCAGCGATATCGAGAACTTGAGCGCAAACCAGATCGTCGTCTTTTTGGAACAAATGCTTCTCCTTGAGCAGCCGCTTACTCCTGAGCTGTCGAAGCTCATGGGCGAAGTTTATGGACTTTCCAAAAGTGAGAACATAGAAGTCGCCAATCTGTATTTCCAGGTGGGCCTGAAAGCTGGCGATGAGAGTGTTGTCGACCCTGCGACCGAATTACTAGGCAGAATTGGAAGAATGAAGTTTGTGAGACCATTGTAAGCTACCTTGCACCGAAAAGACAATCTATGGCGCTGACAGAGAAACCAGGTTCCGGAGTTTGCAGAGAGTCAATCGTGAGGTTGCAGTCGCAACTTTCGAGAAGCACAAGGACTTCTACCACCCTATATGCCGAGCAATGGTCGAGAAGGATCTCTTTGGAAAGAGGGACGTCTAGCGATATAAACGAACCCATCGCCCCCTGACTGATTCACATAATGGACCAAAAAATGAAGTTGAACTCATACCTGAAATAATCTTCCGGCAATGTCAACTACGCTTATTAGCCACGATAGTGATAGCAAATAAACAATTACTTCTCCACAATACATGGAATTATGCAAGTTCAAGCCCAATATGTTACATTATAATCAATAGACATGATAGTTATACGTACAAAAGGCGAACAAAAGAGCGCCGACGGGTAGTTTCTAGCTTACAATGTCACCGCTTGCTATCGACCATCTTCTGATCGACTTCGGAATGAGAGAAAATACCCGGCTTCCCGTTCCTTTGCCGGTCCAGTTGGAAGACCAAGTCCGCTTCGTGCACCTGATTGAGTTCGGAAAGTACTCGCCGCATATACGCAACGACCTGAGCTATCTTCGACCAATCCAAGTCCTTACCGTCTGGTGCAGTATGGCTCGCCTTCCAGAGGTTTCTCCAAACGGCAGCTCCCAGCACTGCATCTCCCTTAATTAGGCCTTCATCGTAGGCTGCCAAAACACCGCGCCATTGGATAAAAAGATCCTTGAGGAACTTATTGCGTATACCGCGGCTCGTCAACCCGTGAAGCACATCCATGCGATGCTCGGCACTATGTGAGAAGTGGTCGATCAAATGACGTGAGTAGGTTTGAAGGCTATCGTGCGACGGCAAAGCGCGCAACCGGACCGTCAATAAGTACATGTGCAGGAATGTAACCTGCGACCATGTTGAGAAAGTAGGAACGAGACCCAATTCTGTTTGATGATATTCGTTAGCCACGCACCCCATGGTACCACGCCACACCATCCATGAAGACGAAGACACCTAAGTAAACTTACCTTCATACCACCATCCTTCACCTACTCCCAAGTCTTCCCCGGCACTTGTCTTGGGAACCTGAGCTCCTTTCTGAGACAACTGAGGTATCTTGTAGTCTGCTTGTCTGGAGCAGGCCTCGAATAGCTTTTGCGTCATTCCGTAGGCGACGTAGGTCTCTGCTGCAGTACCAGGGCGCGGCCCGATCGCGCGAGCTAGCTGGGAAGAATTTCGCCGACTTTGCGAAGGAAGAGCGAAGCATGAGGCCAGCGGTTGTTGCTGATGGCTAGTGCAGCGGTGAGATACCGAGGGCTTCGAAGCATGAATCGATGTTAGAAGTGACTGATTGTACGCCTGTACCTAATGGTATTGCCTTGTCAGACGAAATGTTATTCATGTTGTCCTCTGTGCCAGATGAGGCCGTACCTGAGACCGCGGGCATTGAAAATTGTAGAGCCCCCGAAGGGACAGGTTCTTCGGGCCTGCGGAAGGCATTGTTGATTGTCTGTATAGCACAACCCCCTAGTTGGTTCTAGCCACTGTTTATACCCGTTTGGATCGTACGGGGCCTTGTTGCGTGGAAATGTTAGATGGGGGTCTTCCTTGATTACAATCCGAAAACTTGAGACTGCTCCATACTCCGGAGAAAGCTAGAAGCCCGCGAGATCAACGATGTTTGCACTGTTTGCCGCCAAGCGTTCCCAGTTCATCTAACTAGCTAGTACGTCACGACTACTTCTTATCAACTACGATCCCTACCATATATTTAATGGAATGTGACAAGCATAGGTAGGAGCGCGGTTTTAGGCCGTGAGCAGGATTGTCGAGAGTCTCCAGAAGGATAGCAAATAACCATTCTGTCTATATCACCTACCCCATTACTATGACGCTCTTTCGTAAACAAGGCCATGGTATATGAGCACTACCATGATAGTATCGTCATATATCATTCAACGTGAATCGCCGGGCTTCGATCGATACTATCCCTAAGGGCCTTGTCTCACTGAGTGAAGATTATCGCAACCTGGTCACCGCGCGTGGTGTTGCCTCGACCGCGCACTTCATTTATCCAGACTACTGCTGGCATGAGTTGCCCTGAGTAGCACTGAAACGACTCAAACTACTGAAGTAGGCGGCATAAATCTATGTGGTGAGATAGAGCGGTCATCCATATTCCGGTTGCACTTCCTACAACCAGTTGGAGCCGCGACTGTGAGCTGGGCCTCAGTGCGTGGTAGATGGGGGTAGACTGTGGTAGTGAGTATCCGTTGTATTGGTGCTTCATTCATTGAGAGCCACCCTCTCTAAGCGCTTTTCGACAAGCGGGAGGATTTCCGAAAGCCTATTAGGGTCTCTCATGACGGCCGGCACATCGTCTCTGGTCGCTGCTAAGGTCTGAAGACTGATTAGTTCCCTGAGCCACTCAAATCGGATGTAGTACCCGAAATCAGAGAATGCAACAAGCTTACCCGTCTTACCGCCTCATATTCACATTCTCTAGACTGATATTCTCTGATGATCTCCATCTCATCGAAGTCAACGTAGACTCTCGTGTCCCGAAGCCGGAACAGAACGTTGTCTAGCCGCATGAAGAACCTCGCAAGGAGAAGCAGCCTAGATGGCATGACTCGGATCTTGCATGAAAACATAGTAATGCCGTTATCAGCAAGTTCATCCTCGTAAAGAATGACGTCGTCATAAAACAAGATAGGGTCTGGCCGCTTCAACAGTTCGATAGGAATGGGCTTCGTTGTTGCTGTGAAAGGCCGACTCCCAGGTTTCACTGTGCCCGCGTAGTCCGTAGTGTAAGACCAATCGAAAGGTTTGACAACTTCTTTGATTCCTTCGTGAGTCTTCTCCCTAACAACCAGTCAGCCACAAATATGTGCGAGTTGACCTGTGAGGCAAGCAACGATGATGCAGTACCTGCTCTTCTGCCATTCTCTCGAGTACGCGACTTTGAGCATCGATGTACCAGTTTTGTCCACACGATCTAAGGCGTCGAAGGCGTTGAAAGCTATGCCCCACGGGCTTTGTTCATGTTCAATCGCAACAAAATTGTCACCGAAAATCATTTCTGGTGGGGTTATTCCTAGTTCTTTCGTCATTTCCTCAATTGGATCCGCCTTGAGTATTGGCAGTTTCTGAGTGCTGATCTTGAATCCTTTGACCGTCACGGAATTGGGCTTCTGAAAGCTGGGCGAAGTTGCGGTACTCGCCATATTTGCTGACGCCGTGTTGCTACGTGAAGTCATGCTATATTATAATGAGTGGGTGGCAAGCGACAGTGATGGCATATACACAGGCAGGAGAGAGAATATGAGGATATGAAAGGAGTCAGAAAAGAGAGAATGGGACCTTTTGATTCACAGGTATGCATCGTCGGCGTTCCCCATGGCCGGCCGATAGATCATACCCCGCGGTGTCGGAGAAAGAGGCGGTCCGAACTGTTGCTGGGGTGATGTGTCTGGAAACCAAACCGGATAAACATCCGAGCGTCGCTAGAGAGCTGCCAGTTCTCCCCAACCTTATTTATCTACTCACTCGTTCTCCATTATCCTCTTCCAGCTCGTCATCTAGACTGCTTTCTCATCTATAGACTCTCTAGGGCCTGACTATGACTTTGTAAGGCACGATAGTCCTGATAATTACCTGCAAACCTCGTTTAGCTCTTTTCCCGTCGCCAAACACTGTCAATTACATTTTTCTCCATGGCCTCCAAGACATTGGAAGCGCGCCTCGAGCGCCTTTCCGTCAAAGACGAAAATGACAGCGGACACAATGGCGGCGGCTACCCGAAACCTAAGGTATGAGTCCTGGAGTACGCCTTGTATAGTACATGGCCTGTTAATGCCGTACATCAGAGCTCCCTATCAACAGCTATGTCTCTTTCGGGCCTTGGAGCTGCAGGGCAATATAGCGGCTCCAATCGATCCAACCTGCTGAAGCTGGCTCTTCAAAATACCAATGACAACAAAGTCAATGCCATGAACGTTGCTCAGTCCCCTACAAAGGGCTCCCAGAACACTTTACCGAGTCGCAACCTAGACGAGAATGGAGAACAACGACACCCAAACCCGCTATATGAGCAACCGGCACCCAAGAAACTGCACCTTGGGATGTTTGAGATCGGAAAACCCTTAGGAAAAGGAAAGTTTGGTAGGGTGTACCTGGCCAAAGAGCGGTCCTCTGGTTTTGTATGTGCACTCAAAGTCTTGCACAAATCTGAGTTGCAGCAGGGTGGAGTGCAGAAGCAAGTCCGCCGGGAAATCGAGATTCAGAGCAATCTTCGTCATCCGAATGTTCTAAGGCTTTATGGGCACTTCCATGACAGCAAACGGATCTTTCTGATTCTTGAATTTGCCGGTCGGGGAGAGTTATATAAACACCTTCGCAAGGAACATCGATTTCCTGAATGGAAAGCTGCTCAGTACATCGCCCAAATGGCTGCTGCTTTGAAATACCTCCACAAGAAGCATGTCATGCATCGTGATATTAAACCCGAAAATATCCTAGTCGGCATCCACGGGGAAATCAAAATAAGTGACTTTGGATGGAGTGTACATGCACCCAACAACCGGAGGCAAACAATGTGTGGAACACTGGATTACCTGCCTCCCGAGATGCTCAAGCCGGGCTCACAGGACAATTACTACAATGAGAAAGTCGATCTGTGGAGCTTGGGTGTCTTAACCTACGAGTTTCTTGTTGGAGAAGCTCCCTTTGAGGATACCCCTGTTATGACACAGAGGCGGATTGCAAGAGCGGATATGTCGGTTCCATCATTCGTGAGCCCTGAGGCAAGGGATCTTATCAAACGGGTATGTGAGGCCCAGCCGCCCCTTATGGAGTAATTGCTAATGCCTTCTAGCTCCTTGTTCTGGATCCTGAGAAGCGAATCTCTCTTGATGAAATCCAGCGGCATCCCTGGATCCTTAAACACTGTGTTAAGGATGAGCGAACCGTGAAGCGCAGTTCTGGTTCTGCTTCGTCAAAGGATACCAAACAATAACGTAATACTTATGCATTCATGGCGCTTTGGTGTTGGGACGTGTGGTCTTCTCTGCCACTTCAACCAGTGGCCTTCTTGTGATTGGGTTTCGTGCGGAGTGCGTTGAGCATGCTGGAGTTCTATAATTATCTGCTTTTTGCGGCGTCCGGTCCTTTGGCTCTATTATTTAATAATATATCTTTGCAGGTGGCGTAACAAATACTATATACACATGAGTGGCCTTTATCGCAGGACTGCAGCGCTCGAAAAATAGTAGTATCATCGGTAGATCTCGTCGAAGGGTCGGGTGTCTCTAAAACAGCTGTCCCATACTTCATTTACAACCTTCTCTGCATGGGCTTCATCCTTGCATGTTGGCCTTGCTCGCACAGACAGGATAGCTCTTCTTCTAACACACTCTTGATGCTGCTGTGTAAACTTCCACTGGCCCCTCCGGAAGAACTCGCGCGCCCACCGACATTCACCGCTGAGGGAGCTGGCTCGAATCTGCCTTTTACATCAGCCAATGGCTGCCAATTTCAGGTGATTATGATCTTGGGAGAGTAAATACCTCGGTACAAGCTGCGTGCCGCAGATTGTCCATCCAGTCAACTTTGAATCTGAGGTGATCATAGGCATGGACCATTTCATGAGCCATTGTATCCTCCAGATGTCCCTGGTCCTTCATCTCGTTCGCGCAAATTAAAATCCCATAATCGGGGTCGAAGCCTCCAGCTTTTCGATTGGTACATCGGCGACAATAAATATTGTGGCTATGAAGGTCTCCCCCAAGCTGTCGAATGCTGTCACTCATGAATCGGATTATGGGACCTTGTGATTCCTTGGATTAGCTGTAACCCTGACTAAGTACCCAAGCCCTGGGAATCCGCGAAGAGGCAAAGGGAAATAACTTACTGAACTGTAAGAGATAATCGCGCTGATCCTCGCAACGTTTACAATCGGCGGCCTCATTCCGGATATCTCGAGCAACACGGAATTGTTCTTTCCCTTCATCTGTCATTCGCCCTGCTAGGATGGAGAAGATATTGCGCCATTGCGTCCAGGTATCGTCGCCCGGTATGTAGCCCGTATCCTGATTGCCGGGTTTCGAACCGGTATTGGGAGACTCTGAAGCCGACATTTCGCCTAAAAATACAAGGACGAGAAGCCAGCGCAGTGAAATGGATACGGAAGAAGCGCTAAGCACTGCGGAAAGATCGTCCAGGCCGATTCCGCCATCAGCTCTCCGCATTGGCGGTGAAAGATGTGCCTGGCAAAAAATAGATATTCCCCGGAAAATCACACACGGCAAATGGGATGCCCGATCGAGCTACAAAGACTAGCGCAGCCTGTCTGACATCGTCGCGTCTGGGAGGGAGGTCGGATACCGCCAATTGCCAGTGTCGCCATCAGATGGGTGATTGTGTGAACAACATTCCTGATTAATCAACTCCAACTTCACTTCACAATGGCTTCCAAACCTCTCACAATCGTCATCAAGCTAGGTGCGGGGTATCCAACTACAAGCCCGGGCATTTACTGTTACAGATTCGCTAACATTCATTCTGGTTACAAACAGGGACGAGTTCCATCGTGGACGAGAACACCCATGAGCCTATACTGTCGATATTGACATTGATTGTGGAAACTGCCGCCAAACTTCATCGCGACGGACATAATGTCGTGCTCGTTTCATCCGGAGCTGTCGGCGTCGGTCTACGGAGAATGGATATTGAGGAGAGGCCCAAACACTTGCCCCGTATACAGGTAATAAGACACACAATGCTACGGATCGCCAGATATCCAGGAGCTGATTTATGAACTTTAGGCTTTGGCAGCAGTTGGGCAATGCAGACTGATGAGTCTTTGGGACGGTCTTTTCTCGCATCTCCGTCTCCCCGTCGCACAGATCTTGTTGACCAGGAACGACATTGCGGATGTAAGTGTTCATTCTGGTTCCTGGAGTTACGTTTCACATCTGACACTGGTACAGAGGACACAATATCTGAACGCTCAAAATACCTTCGCACAGTTATTTGACATGGGTGTGATCCCCATCGTCAATGAAAACGACACCCTCGCAGTCTCGGTATGCTTCGGCTAGTTGTTCTATGAAGCGAAAAAGCAAAGCAAAAGCTTACTCTAACTAGGAAATCAAATTCGGTGACAATGACACACTGTCGGCAATAACAGCAGCTATGGTCAAAGCCGACTACCTCTTCTTAATGACGGATGTCGACTGTCTATACACGGCTAACCCACGCCACAACCCGGATGCGAAGCCTATCGAGGTCGTCACGGATATTTCATCTTTGGAGGCTGATGTTTCGTCTGCCGGATCCTCTTTAGGGACAGGAGGCATGAGTACCAAGATCGTCGCTGCCAAGTTGGGAACCAGTGCGGGCGTGACCACAATCATCACCAAAAGCTCCAAACCGGGTAATGTTCATGAAATTGTCAGATACCTTCAGCAAACGGAGCAACTTGACCTGGGGTCCGAAGAGTCTTCAGGCTCGCCAGACTTGCCCACTCCGCCCCCACTACACACTCGATTCATTCCCTCGGAAACCCCGATTCAGTCTCGGTCTTTCTGGCTTCTTCATGGCCTGAAACCTCGAGGTACACTATATATTGATCATGGCGCATATAGTGCTCTCCAGAAAAAGGCTGGCTTGCTTCCGGCAGGTGTTTTAGGGGTGGAAGGACATTTTGGCCAACAGGAAGCAGTGCGCCTGGTTGTGGTAGAGAAGATCTCTCCAGACGCTTTGAATGGGGAGTTCCTTCATCATGGCCAGGAGCCGAAGGAAGTTGGGCGTGCCCTAGTCAATTACGGCAGCAGTGAAATCATCCGCATCAAGGGCCAGAGAAGCACACATATTCAGTCACTACTTGGTTATGCAGATAGTGAATATGTGGCTCTTCGAGAAAACATCTCTTTCACACAAAATAACGATAGTCCACGTCACTGAAACGCAAGTGCTTCTAACATTCTGCTATCTTGAGAAGGAGAAGGAACGATCGATGAGTAACAGACAACTATATAATTAGAATTGCATATAACAAAAGTATAGGCTAAACAATGGAAGAGACTAGAGCTTTGCTTATTTTCCAAGAATTTAAACATACACTATGGTATATGTAGTAGGCTTGGTGATTCCGATAAACTTCAAGAGGCCAGCGTTGACCAATATAGTAACCACTTTAGTGTAAACATACATAGCTGGGAAATGCCTGGAGTTAGGTAAGACTCGTATTCCCGAGCTCCAGTCTGCCAGTCCGGAAACGCCACATACAAGCCATCAATATGTAGAATCATTGAGACATAGGACAGGGAGCGTGCTAAGTACGGAGGAAGCCATGGGATGATCGAGCAACAAGTATTGACAGTCCAGACCTTACAAGCCAGAATCGTCATACGCCTCAATCTTTCCATCTTTCCAAAAACCGCTTCATTTTAGTATCTCCAGCATGTGGTGCAGGAGAAGCCTGTGGAAGTGAGTGCCATTAGCCCAGTTTCGTAAACCTTGAGAAGAGAAGAACAGAATCGATATTGACAAGACCCAGCTACGTTATACTTACTGTATTTTCAATGCTAACGACGGAGTATGTTTCTGAGGCGGACAGTGTCATCTGAACGGTAGCCTGAGGTAGATAAGTTGTAGCAACGGAATACGCGCTCGTTGGATATTGGGGTGTTGGTGTTCCCGGCGGAATTGTACTTCCAGGCTTCTTAGCCATGGGTGCGTATCTTGTAGGTCCAGTCTGCAACTGATAGGGAATCGTGAAGGGCCCAGCCACCTGTCTCTTTCGTAGTTCTTCGTGATTGTCATCCTCAAGGCTCGAAGGGAAGGAGGCTGTAGGGTACATGGCCGAATGAATTTCATTTAGGACAGTCGGTGAGAATGAGCCGGTCATGTTCGTGAGGGTGAAGCGATCCGAGTAGTTGACAACAGAGGTTTCAGGACCAGAAGCGGCAATCCTAAGAAAGCTGCACGAGATGTAATCGTCAGCAGTAAGATCGAAACCCTCTATCGTGTTTCAGGGGAGCATTGGAGGAGGGCTTACTATGCGTTCGCATCATTGCCGCCAACCTCGGGATCAATATTGAATGAAACTGAATTGCCCCTGGTAAAGAGCGCGTCTTTGACGAGGAGAGCTACATCCTCCTGTATCGAAGATCTGGGTATTAGTAGGGTTTGAACCAGGGGCGAGAACATTGATAGAGCACGCACATTGGATCCTGCTGTGTCTCCGCCTGCACAAAGATAGAGGTCATACTGTAAGAGGGAAGCAAGTCGAGGTAATGCGCCAGAGTCCCTCCAGTGAGCAGTAACCACATCCCCAGCTCTGATGACCGCACCGGCTGCTGGTTCGATGAACTCGATATCTGCGAAAGCAGTTGAGAGAAACGATAGCGCAAAGTATACTACTGGGCGCGCGAGTCTCATCATGGGAAGAGCGAGAAAGAGGGGAGGAAAAAGAAACACAGATGCCAGAAAAAGCGAGCGTGGACAAGTAATTCAAAAGAAGGAAGATGGCCAGAGATGTCTGTTGACACCCTCCCGTCACCCCCTGCAATCAACGGCATGCTGGGAAGCCTGCTGTGCTACCGAAGTATATACCTGTATGTCCTAGTCGGGAACTATAACGCACGGGCCATGAACCAGGCATTAAGGCACCACGGCATCAAGGCAAACACCAGCTTCGGCCAGAATCCCGCTCCGAAGGTGGCATGATCCGTCTGGCCCACCCGCTTGCTGGTTTCGTTGTCACCGCTGCAATTTCCAGCAACCAACAAGCAACAACTTGGACGTCAGCCAATTTCTGGACAGGATCGCAGCTCCTAGGCTTTGGTTTACTAATTGGCTGCGTCAGGATTGTTGCCCTAACCAGACTTGGGGAAGACGAGGGACAAGAAGTTCTGCGCTTGCGGATTGGTAGCTTCTTGAATACATACTGCGGAGCTCGACCTGTTCATGCCCTACACAATTAATCCCTTTTCACTACTCACCGGATAATTGAAGAACCTTTTCGCATCAGTCCCCCGTGCTTCACGTGGGCATCTGTGGAAGATGCAATCTCATGCGAACTGGAAGACCCTTGAGGGAATAGCTACCAGTCTGCTTGACGGCAGCCCCATTGCAATTGCAGTCACAGTCTTCATTGCATTTGGGCTACCTATTCTGCTGCACCTGATCTTCTACCGAACAGTTGCTTCTCCACCCTCCAGCAATTTCCTACTCCTTGGTCCCAGTGGGGCTGGCAAGACCGCTCTCTTAAACCTGGTATGTTCAATCTAACTTGGCCTTGCTTTGTGCATTCCTCTCTCCACCCCTCCTGCCTAAGTTGTAGCTTGTGCTAACGGTCCTCTTTCGTCTACAATAGCTTGAGACTAAATCGTCACGTGTTCCTCCCAAAGACTCTCGGCTCACACATACCTCGCAAACGTCTACTGTAGCTACCATCAGCCTTCCCGCCTCCATCCAGACCGCTTCGAACCGCTACCGCTCTGTCAATGACACCTCCCTGAAGGATATTTCCAAGAACCCTGTCAAGTACCGCGTGTGGGATACTCCGGGCCATGGAAAATTGCGGGTATCTCAGGGACTTGCGACATTGCTGTCAATGTCAACGTCCAAGGATGTAAAGTCCAAGTTGCGCGGAGTCCTCTTTATGGTCGATACGGCGGCTCTTGTCGAGGCTGAGACTTTGCGAGATACAGCTTCATATCTGTATGATGTGCTTTTAGCCCTCCAGAACCGAGCCCTTAAGAAGGGCAAGAATTCCGCGAAAGCAGCCTCGGAGATCCCCGTTCTCGTGGTGGCCAACAAACAAGACCTTTTCACTGCCTTGCCTCCAGGGTCAGTGCGTGAAAAGCTGGAGGCTGAGATTGACAGAATCCGGAAGTCCAAGAGCAAAGGTCTCATGGATGCTAGCGCTGACGCTGGAGTTGATGAGGGCGAAGACGATATCCTGGGAAGTACTGACACTCGGATCAAGTTCACCTTCCGAGGCCTAGAAGATGAAATTGGTTTGACTGTTGACATTGTCGGTGGCGCAGTCAAGAGTGATGAGGAGGGCAACCTCGGGGCCGGCGTCAGAAAGTGGGAGGAATGGATTGGCCAACGCCTCTGAACTGGATGTTCGTATATTACTTGGGCCAGTGACAGTGCTACTGGCCCTAGAGATGGGATGAAACGATACGAGATATATCTTGAAAAATTGCATAACTCCTACACACAATCCAGACAGTCCATATAAGCCCTATGCGCCGGAACGATCATCATGAGCAGAAAGTGGAACACTAACTATCACGATATACCTGGAATTCAGCCAAAAAGGTTCGATGACCGTATTAATTCTGACGGATACAGCTCGGAGCAGCTGCTATCAGGTCTCTTGTTGCCAATGAAGGCCCAGATGCTCTGTCACCTTGGTATCTATCCAATCCTGTACGCAATCAGAAACGCGAGGAGAAGAGGCAGGGTCAGAGAGGGCAAAACGTAAGAATACGTACCCAAAGGTCGCGGGCGAGAACCGGGTCCTTACCAATGTCAGTCGTTGCGTCTGGCTTGGCAATAGGAATGTAGTATTGGCCGCGAATCCCATCAACACGAATCCGATCACTTGTAGCCAGATAGACGGCGGTGGCAGCGCCGTCTTGTGTACTTTGCCCAATGATTGAAAAGACATAACGGAAAACTGCACCGAGAGTAGTTCCTACATACTCGTCCCAGGCTTTCCATTGCTCTGTGACAATGTTCCCAGGGAAGAAAACATTCACGTAGATATTGTTAGCGCTGGGGCCTTCTTGCTCAACTCGACGGGCGAGTTCTCTCGTAAAGAGTATGTTTCCCAACTTGGAACGACAATAACGCCAGAAGCCATCAATATACGGATGCATAGGCATCACACGTGTAGGCGTGGTAAGCTGGTTAAAGTCCAAAGTACGGCATACCGAGTGCAGCGAGGAACTAGTGACAACAATCCGGGCTTCTCTGGATTCACTATGCTGGTTTGCTGTGCGTTTCAGTAGTGGTAGGAGCAGGGTGGCCAATTCCTGATGGCCAACGCAGTTTGCCGCAAAGACCACTTCCACTCCCTGGGGTGATCGTTCGTAATTGGTTGTGACACCAAGGCCTATAGAATTTGTTCTGAATCAATACATTTATTGTCGCTAGTTCGTGGTACTAGTATAATAGTGAAGGGAAGAGTGATGGTATAGAAGAAGGTATCATGTCATACCGCCATTGCAAATAAGGATATCTAGTCGTTCTGTTATACTTCTGATCTGAACTGCTGCTTCCTTCACAGCGAAGATATCACCCAAATCACATTGGACGAAAGTGACTCTTTTGTCGTCCTTGCCTAGGTTGATATGACGACGTTGCCATTCTTCTTTGGCTGCTAGAAATTTGTCACTATTTCGACCGAGGATCAAAACTCTGTCTATATTATGAATAAGAAGCTGGGCGGTGATCTCTAAATTAACATCATTGAATTAGAAAAGCTGATTGAAGACTCGGCGTGGAAGGAGAGACGAAATTGCAGCGATAAACTAGTAGGGTAGAGAAGAGTTGGGTACCTCTTCCTATGTCTCCGTGACCACCCTATTAATTGTCATGTTAGCGATAATCTCCTGCAGGATTGTGATATGTTGATTTCTCGGTTATACTGCATGTTTCTTACATGTTTCGGTAAACGAATAGGAGACATACTGTTACCAAAGCCACCTTCCCATCCAACGGTGGTGTGTCCCGTAAGGAGAATTCTCTATAGGTGAATATTCCTGTCATTATAAATGTCTAGTAGTATTTAAAGGAAGAGACGATGTATAGTTAAGAGGGATCTCCATTGCTGGCCATCCCTTGGGGGTACAATTTGGATTCATTGTTAATTAATATCGAAACCGGTGATTTGAGTTACAGAACAGTGGACCGGAGACGTCATTCCGGGCCTCTGTTATATACGTCAGTCCTACACACATGTCAAGATGCGCCAACTTAATGGTAGTGTTTGATTGCTCGTTTGACCTGAACTATCTAGCTTTGTTCCAATTAACTCCATACCGCCCATGGCACAGCCTTCGTTATATGACTGGATGACTCGAGAACTGTGTGCCGGAGGGCATCCGCCAAAAAAAAAAAAAAAGAAATTTGAAGATATAGTTGATACTCTCCAGATTATAGCACACCGGTTGAAAAGTCAAGTTGCAGTCGCTAGAATATTATAATCTTAGTTACCCGAGGTGCCATTGTTGTCGTTGTGAAGCATCCAGGTGAGGAGATCGACCTTGGTCGCCACCGCAACCGGCTTCATGGCGCCTTGGTCGTCTCGCTCAGTAACAACAGCTGCGCTGTTCCATTCAAGGAATCGGTTGAGAACGCTCAAAGGCGTATCCATGGTGATCTCCACAAATTTCCGATCTCTGATATGGGGCTTCGCGTTAGCACTACCGTTCTGGCCGGCCTGCGAGCTGGCAAGCCCCATATCTCTGGGATCGGTGACAATTTCCGGGATCTTGCTGAAATCGAACATAACATCAGCAACCGGGCTCTTCCCGGTAGCACGTCCATGGGTCAGCCGGCTGAGAACATTTCCAAGGGTAAGCAGTCCGACAAGCTTCTTGCCGGAAGGAGCAAGAACGGGAAGTTGGTCGAATCCTCTGTCGCGCATCATTTCAATGGCAATTTCACAGGGGATGTTGGATCGGACTGTTGTGATGGGCTTCAGTCTCAGGGCCTTGACCTGCGAGCCGGCGAAGGCATCGCTCTTCGCCTGTGGCTGTAACGCCGGGAAGGATGTGGGTTCAGGGGTCGATGACAGAAGACCATTCGCAGCGAGCCAGTCGTCATCTGCAAACTGTACTAGGTTAGACGACTCGTCAAAAACAGCCTAAGAGTACATGAAGACTTACTTTGGTAAGATAACTCCTGATGCTGTCGGGCAGGACGACGACAACCACGTCATCCTTCTTGAATCTATTATCCTTCGCGGCTTGCGCCAAAGCGGAGATGGCACTTCCACTGCTTCCACCAACAAGAAGACCTTCCTCGGCGATTAGCCGCCGAGAGTATTGGAACGACTCTTTGTCGGCGGTCTTGTACCACTTGTCAACTGCCTGGCGATCCAAGACCTCGGGGATGAAATCATATCCGATACCCTCGACCTTGTAAGGCTCGTTCACATGCTCCTCGTTCAGCGCAGCAGGAAGTGCCAAGATAGATCCATGGGGGTCTGCTGCAATGACTTGGATATCGGGGTTGTGCTTCTTGAGGCCGCGAGAGATACCAGTAATCGTTCCACCAGTGCCAGCACCGGCGACAACCGCACTAATCCGACCTTCTGTCTGAGTCCAGATTTCCTCTGCGGTTCCAAACTCGTGGGCAAGGGGGTTGTTCACGTTCCCATACTGGTCCAGAATGTGCGCATTGGGAAGCTCTTTCTCCAAGCGCTTTGCGACGCCAATGTGAGATTCCGGAGAGTCGAAAGCCGCTTCGTTGGGAGTACGGATGATAGTAGCATTCAAAGCACGCAATACGGACACTTTCTCAGCGGACATTTTTTCAGGCAGAGTTATGATAGTCTTGTAGCCTGCATACTCCGGGAAGATCATTAGCCGAAAAGATCCCAATTTAGAGACTCTGGATCAACTAACCCTTGACGGCCGCAACAAGAGCTAGACCAATACCACTAGTGATAGGGAAATTATGCGAGTTAGAACATCTGCTTTGAGAACATCTGCGTGATTTGCGCAACGGGACCTACGTGTTACCGCTAGTAGGTTCGATCAAAGTATCGCCCGGCTTTATGCGCCCAGATCGTTCCGCTTCTTCAATCATGCGCAAAGCGATGCGATCCTTCACGCTCCCGCCGGCATTGAAATATTCACATTTGGCGTAGACGGTGGCTTCGATTCCCAAGCTGCGCGGAATCCTGTTTAGCTTAACCAACGGGGTATTGCCGATATTCTGGGTAATCGTATCAAGGGCCACCGGAGGACCGGCCGGGGTGGTTTTCGTGGACATGGTAGGTATCGGAGAGAGCTGATTTTCGTAAGCTGGGTTGACCGTGAGGAAGAGGAGTTATGAAGAGCAATTGAGGGCCGTGTGCGACTATATTAGGGGTATCAGAAGTGAGGAAATGAGACAAGAAAAAAGAAAAAAAATTTGGCAAGGCAAAAAATCTCGTAACAGATTGGTGGTATACCCCTCCCGACGGTAGCCGTTTACGATTGTGCCAGTGCCACCCAACCGCATTCGCCATATCGCTCGAGTTCACGAAATTCCTGCATAAGCACCACGTGATCGATGCATGGTCTGACATGTAAAGTTAGTTAACTAGTAGTTGGGCTACATGAGATAATGTCATCATTAGGAGTTGTCGTCATTGGAGGCTTGGAGTATGGCAATTGTTCACTTGACACAGAAGGATTATTGATAACGGGCGATCTCCCTCATCTCATGGATTTTAGCTTCTTCCATTTCTTCCACAACTTGGTGGAGGCAAGGTGGGTATTTTACACGCACCACCAATCAGAAAACACACCCTTCATGTAAGTACCATGTACAGAATATCTACCTAGTACCTAGAACCATAATCACATACCAGACTAGTAGTTAGCAGATCCCCAAAGAAAATAAGGTACTCCAACAGTCACCACATGACGACAAGTCCCTACTTTGTACTTACGTACGTACTTTGGATATAGAGTATCTACGTGGATCAGATCAGCAGGATTGACTCCTGTCAACCAATTTAGTAGATACCTTCAAGATATTTGTTACGTACCTTTCTACTCGTATGACTCTTACAAACGATTCTCTGAAGCAAGTAAAAAACAGGCGCTGCTACTCGGATCTATGTCAGATTCAGGATCGAGATGTGTGTAGGTAAGCCTTAAAAACAACATCGGTGATGGAAAACTAAACGGCATTTTGACATTCTTTCCTTGCAACCAGCAGTAGCATACCTTTCAGTCCCGAAGAAGGTACTGACGAATAAAAAATGACGTCTTCTATCTGCGGGGAAGTTCTCTCAATACCTAATTCCATGTGAGAGATAGGCATTGCATTAGCCTATATTCTTATTTTGCTGTCAGTGATCGAAATAGAGAGTAAGTACGTAAGAGAGCAGGGAAGAGGACACTCGGAGTGACTGCCCGCTGTGCGGCAGGCACTATCACTTAGGATATAGTACTTGGGTTAAGGGCCGCGGGTCCTAGCTGGGCCCCTGATCCAGGACAGCGGAGTCCTATTTAATTGTTTAATTTGCCTTTTGTCGCAATTCCGGTTCAATGCTGGGGTCTGTTCTAGGTTCCACTCTTTTACTCTACGTACTTACACGGAGTACTACTACAGTACTCATAATATATTTGCTTTTAAAATCGCGATGAGTCCTTCCACTGCATCCTCCATCCCATTGATACTTGCATCCACATCAATTGAATAGTTGTAAGTAAGATAGGGTTTAGTGTTTACTACTATCTATATCGTTGTGTGCTAAGTGAATGCACGGTTATAGATTTCGAAAAGGAGGATATAAGCTGTGTCGAGACTCGAGACATTTTGTCAAGCCAGCCAACTGCCGGGAAGTTTGCGGGAGCCCGCCAAGCTAGGCCATGTTTACCGCTTGCTCTCAACCTTCGGTGAGTCCCCACCTGGAGGAGGCGAGCTGCAGGATTCGACGCGAGTCAATCGTGGCTGTGTATCCGGTATCGACAATGCGTGAACCGGCCCCTCCTTACGATACAGAGCCCAAGGTCACTAAGTCAGCATGCTTGAGACAACCGCGTTGTCAGAGGATACAGCAGATCTCTCCTAATACATACTCTATATTATGTATATCTAACACGGGAGACACCGGCCATATCCGACAGATTAGGAGCAAATAATGCTCTGGAGCTTACAGCGGGATGATAATCACCCAGCAGCTGACGGGTCTGTTGACAGCTTATTTTTTTTTTCTGGGTGAGCCTTTAACAGCTCACCTGCCGAAGCGCCACGGCTCCATCCAGAGGCCGCACTCCGATGCTCATAGGCTCGCCAAGACCACAGCGTGGGCACAATGTTTCGAACTTGGACAACCCAAGGGTAAACTAAGGAACTCGGGGATCGCCTCAGCTGAAGGGGCCCAATTCTCCTGAGTGTCTGTCTTTGCAGATGCACTCTGGTGATGCGCAGCGAAATACCGTCCAGTATTTCTGTAGAAGTCCGAAGGATGGCAGTCCGCAAAAGCTGGCATACAATACTGCCCATATGCCATACTGTGTAAAATCTTGGTTGCACTGCTTGCATGGATTAAGATCTCCAGAATAATCGCGATCATGATTAGCGGGAAATAGAATATGTATGATGTTCGCTGAAGGTGGTCTGGTCTACATATCAACTTTTCCTTCATGCAGACAGTCCCAGCCCCAGAAATTCCCCTCGTGTCTTTCACTTTCTACTAAAGGAATAGTACACAATGACACTCGTCTGCCACATCTGCAAAGCCAAGCATATCCAGCTGAAACTCCTGTTATTTTTTTTTTCTCTCTCTCTTTCTTCTAATGCTATAGATCCACAGTTATTATCCCCCGTACATAATCTCCGGTGTCCATGCACTATCTTGCTTGTCCTCTACTCCCGTTCTCTTTCGTCTATCCTTGGCTTTGGGCCTCAAGTCTCCCTCTGACTATGCCCATGTGTGCCTGAGCTTACTAGAGCATGTATGCCGGGATAACCCAGCTTTGCTTTATCTCACTACTGGTTTCATTGAGGGATTTGTCTACCTTGCTCTCCAAACATACCTTATAGAAGCCAGTGTCCGACCAGTAAGAGCTTGATTCTGGCCGGTCATCGAGTCAACCAACTTCGCATTCCCCCCAGACAATGGCCTCCAACATGGATGGTGACAGACGGAGGTCACGATCTTCTCAGAAAGGAGATCTTTCACAACATGATGGAATTTTGACACCGGATGCTACGCGATCGGCTTCGAAGTCGCAGAGCGGTACAATACTACCGACTCACAATGAGAAAGGACACCGACGGCACCATAGTCTGTTTCGAATCGATACTGCTGGAGAAAGTGGGAGAACTGGCGTCCATCCACTTCATTTCCTGCGCGTTTGTTTTCGGAGTACCTGCACTCTTTCCATGCTGGTGAACGTCCTCTGGCCTTTCGTCCCAGCTGCAATTGCACTTCACTTCGCTCGACCGGATCTTCATGTTTGGGTATTTGCCCTCAACTATATCGCAATGGTACCTTCAGCGAACTTGCTTGGCTTTGCGGGTGGCGAGCTAGCCAAAAAGCTGCCCAAAGTATTTGGCGTCCTGCTGGAGACGTTTCTCAGTTCTGTCGTGGAAATAGTCCTTTTCATGGTCTTGATCCACAAGGACAAGGGAGGCAATCTGATCCCTGTCATCCAAGCCGCCATTCTAGGCTCGATCCTGGCAAACCTCCTTCTCTGCTTAGGCCTATGCTTTTTCTTTGGAGGCATTGGGCGAGAAGATCAATCATTCCATGAGGCCGTCAGCGAAGTGGGCTCAGGACTCCTTCTAGTGGCAGGGTTCGGCCTTCTGATCCCGAGTGCTTTCTATTCGACTTTAAAAAGCAATGCATCGCATACGCATGTACAAATCTCGACAGAAACACTGAATCAGTCTACACTGATTATCAGTAGAGCCACAGCCGTCATACTCCTAGTGGCTTTCATCATGTATGTTGTCGTCTCCCAAAATACGCCGATAACTCCTATTTACTCATGTGTCCTAGGTATCTGTTCTACAACCTCCACAGCCATCATAGCATATTCGACGAAGTCCTTGAATTCGATGAGCATCTGGATGAAGATCGTGAACGGGAAATGAAGCGCGCAAAGCTTACGTTGATTGAATGCTTTGTGGCTATTGCAATATCTCTCGCATGCGTCTGCATGTCGGCCGTCTTCCTGGTGGAGGAAATAGAGGATATTGTCAATGAAAGAGGTGTATCTGATAATTTTATGGGCCTTATTCTTGTGCCACTTGTTGAGAAGGCAGCAGAGCACTTGACTGCTATTGATGAGGCTTGGTAATTACATCCATTGGTGACTGCCCAATCTTCCCTTGCTGACTCGAAACAGGGACAATCAGATCAATTTTGCACTCTTTCATTGCCTGGGTCCTTCAATCCAGACTGCGCTGTTGAACGCGCCGCTCGCAGTCATTGTCGGCTGGGGTATTGACAAGGATATGGGTCTGAATTTCGAGATCTTTATGATTGTTTTGGTCGTTTTGTCCATCCTAGTTGTTGGAAACTTTCTTCGAGATGGCAAGTCCAACTATCTGGAAGGGGGGCTCTGCGTTCTGGTCTATGTTATTATCGCCGTCACTACATGGTACTACCCTCAGATTGTGGCGGAGGGTGAGTCTGAGGCGTGAGAGACGAAATGGACTGACTCCGCTCGGGTGGGTACCCGTGTATCAACAGTTCCGATATCGTAATGTATAGATAGTAGTGGGTATTCTATAAACTCCCCTTCACTCACGAGGTAGATATTGGTGAATGGACAGAGCCTTCAGTAGACCTGGCAGTCTGTGTTTGATCATTACTGTTTGTTGAAAGTATCATAATCTAGCGCTGTTGAGTAGTGTGATGGAGTTCAATTCCCCAAAGTGGGAGGGAGGCTGAAGTGGATTATTTGTTCAGGTTGTCCTGAGGCGGCAGCAGAAGATTCCGCGCGGAGCGCCGACAAACCATCATCACGACCCAACCGCAGCAATCATTCAATGGACCCATCATCGACCATTATCTCCGCTCTCAAAGATCGCGAACTCTCGATCAATCGCGATCATATCAAGTCCGCCCTCGTTGAGAGGATAGAAGGTACTGAGATTGCAAAATGGCTGACGGAGCATCTCAGTACCGACACACTGTTGTCGCAAGAGGAGCTCATACTGTATTTCTAATCCCGCTTCACAACGGACCTTTCCCAGTCACTGATTGCTTTGCTTACTATTAGGTACTCGAAACTTGAAGAGTCCGGTGCCTTGCAGAGCCTTTTCGCCAATCCTAATCTCAAAGCAACTCGCCCGCTTGTGGATGATGACCTTCGACGCGCGATTGAAACACTAAACGCCTCCACGGCTGCAATACAAAGACAGACCAAAACACTAGCATCGCAGTACGAGAGCTTAAACAGGTCTATCACCTCGGATGACGAACTGGGGCTCAGACAAATTCGGGACAATGCACGATTGCGCCAGAAGCATACGTCAGAAAGACAAAATATAGCTGCCGCGGTAGTGGTTCCTTTTCTTGATTCAGTCACAGAGCTTTGCTGAGTATATGACACAGTCCAGTGACTTGGCTCACGCATTGGAATCAGAGTTGAGAGGCGTATCTGAGCAAGCTTCAGCAGACGCCAAGAGGATACTTTCGTCTCTGACAGCTCGATTCAAGGAAGATGATAGGTTGATCGCGAACCTGGAGAGGCTGGCATCCGGGATAGAAACGAGCCAACAAGATGAGAACAGTGCAAAGATAGCTTTGGAGAGATGTACTGCCCTTGCTCAATGCCTTGCCGATGAGATCAGGTGTCGACTCGATCGGTTATATCTGGAATCGATACAGGCAGGACTAATGATAGCGCGAACTGAGCCAGCACCCGCTGAAAATGAGCCGTTGGCTGCGCTGGAGGAAGAACTTGAATCCCTCTATCCCGAAATCGAAATACTAGCTGAGATGTCCACGAAACAACAGTTCGCCGAACCTATAATAGGCGAGTTAAGCAGTCACCACGAGGAGCTGCAAAATGCCTCACATGAAACGTTGGACTATGTAAGAGACGGATTCCCCCCCTCCCCATCAATATGCCGCACTGACACCGTCCAGGTTTTGGACGTAGTATCGGAGATGACATCGTCTACAAATGGCCTTGTCAAGTGCCTGCAGGACAGGGAGTCTTACTGTGGAACTCTGGAAGCTATCGCTGCTGCGCACCGATCAGAGATTGGCGATATCTTCTTGAACCCGCCTGTTAACAGGAGAGAGTCTTTGAGACGTTCCTCTGTACAGCCCGTTTCGGTTTTTACTTCAGCACAAAAAGACAATCGGCTCCATGATTCTCAATCAATAGCGAAAGTGTTACGCCGAGTAGGATTATCTTTGGATTCGGTGCTCCATGCCGACGAAGCCAGTGAATGCGCAGATAATCTAAAGGAGAAACGATATCAGTTGACTGAGAGCCTAAATGACCATGGTATTGCCGCAGACTCGCCGCTCATGGCTGAGTTACTCCCGACAGACCGGGCGATCCAGCTTCTCTCCACTTCCTTGCACGCCGATTCTGAATTCGAGACCTCACTTGCGAATCTGGACCACCAGAGGAAGCTATCTAATCTCGAAGACGATTTGAAGGGTGTTCAGAAGGGGCTTGAGGGACTCGACATGAGCGTGGTTCATAGAAGAGATAGAGGGCAGGAGAAATTTGTGGAGATGTGGGGTTCGAAGGCCGTGGACGACTGAGCCCTGAGCGGCCTGAAGTACATATTGTGAACATTAAGATACGCTGTTTGCGCCTGCTCTTGAAATGCCATGTCTACTGGAGGCACTATAGATAGTTGCGCCACTGTATTTGTACTGCGGGAGTGTGGTAGGTACTAGAAAATATCCTTAATGTCATAGTTGCTTGATAGGAGGCAAACCGCTCATGAATATCGTAAGTGACGCATGTACTTGGGTATTTGCGCTGCTTGGCTCGCAAATTCGGAGCTCCTTTGTTTTAATGAAGCTAGTATGTCACACTCTGCATGGAAGCAGAATCGATTGCCTGTTTTGATAAGGGTAACGAAAGAAACGGTTGGGTTGAGATCGGGCGCACTAATATCCGGCCAACTCCATTCCTCGCCTTTCACATTCCACCCTGTTAATCTGTACACCTGGAAATCAATCCCTTTCCCCGTTAATGTATAGTGATTCAGCAGGCAGGCCTTTCTTGGTGCTTTCTCAAGTCGTCTGCTGCTGCTACTGACCGGCTAGTGAGCTGATCTCGACCCCAGTCACATAGGTAAAGTGAGCAACCCAAGGAATGTTTACTGATAGCCGCCCACTGACAGATCGCACAGATGTTTCCTCCCTAGTGAGAAAATTAAGCACCGCCGTGTTTAATTCGAGCTACAGGCTTTTTATCTCAGACTACGCAGCCGATTCGACTCGAATCTATTGCAGATATTTCAGCATCAATTACATGCTGGGCAGTGTCCCGACCATGCGATACCTATCGGGGAAGTCAATATCCGCCTGTAGGTCCAGGGCCATCTGTGGCATTATTACCCTTGGTTACCCGACAACGTACAAGGTCTCGCGATGAACAAGGAGAGCCCGTCGACTGTTGCGAGCCTTACGGAGGCAACTAATCCAATCCGCTCACCGAAAGAAGATGAATCAACATTGGGGTCCAACTACCCAACTGATGTCTTCCAGATCTCGCCTACGGTAGCACTGGGACTGCTGTGCACAGGTGTTGAAATGCTTGTGGAATCGTCCGCAGAAGAAGTGGGTTATTCTCGAGGAGCTGCCGTTCCTGTTCCCGGGCCCCTAGTCCATAGCGACAGTATATCTAGCGGGGAATCTACGCCAATAAGGGTCACTGGGTTATATCGCTCCACAGACAGCTATGATGAAGCAGGTCGTCACCTAAAACAGCAGAGTGTGCTGTCAAAACGATTCTCTTCGAAACGCCAGCCACCGATCACGCTGCAGGAGTATTTGCTGCGTATGCACAAGTTCTGCCCTATGTCTACAGGTGTTTATCTGGCTACAAGCATGTACATCATGAGGATGGCGACTATTGAACGGGTGATAGTCGTCAGCCGGAAGAATATGCATCGTCTGGTGCTTGCTGGACTTCGCGTGGCGATGAAGTCCTTGGAAGACCTCAGCTATCCCCACAGCCGCGTTGCTAAGGTTGGGGGTGTGACTGAGCGCGAACTGTCGAGGCTCGAAATCAGTTTCTGTTTCCTTGCGGATTTCGAACTACGAGTCGATGCGGATATGCTCGTCGACCAATTAAGATTACTCCGAGAGATAGGCTGTCGCGGGGATTCCCTCCGTTGAAATTAGCCTTGATACGTTCGTGGAGCGAGCATAGACACTTTTATCTCCCACTAGGCGAATGTGCTTTGGAGAGGCCTGCAAGCGCCTTGGGAATGGCGATGGCCTTGTAGTTCTTGATTAAACTGGAAAGGTCCTCCGCAGATTGGTCCGGGGTGAATTGTGGGGCGCATGGTTGGACTGTGGCCTTTCAACTTGAGCATCATCTTTTCTGGGATACTCTATTACGTATCTACCATGAGAACGCCAGATCGAGGGACTTTTCTTGCTTCCGATTTTGGAGAAACAATTCTGTGTGCACGTATTACAATGCGGCTGCCTAACCGCCCCATCAGTTAGCGACTGGTGTATTGTACTAGTGAGCTAGACAGCTGGGCTGAGTAATGCCTGTCGGGCGCAATTCGTTATTATACTGATTGTCGGACGGAAATTCTGTTCTCAGGGTACGTTAGACCCTCTACCATCAAGGTGTACCTCTATATCTAAGGACCGGGCTTTCAAAATAGTATGATAGTAAGAAAATTGCTGAGTCCCATGTAGCCAACTCGAATGCTCGTTCCCAAGTCGGCGAGGGAGTTCGTGTTCGCATTAGTATTAATGCAGGGAAGTTGTGGGTAAATGTAGACCACGTCGCGAAAGGCGGAGTGGGAAGACGATCCGTCAGCCTTTCGGGAAGGGAGAGGCTCATCCCCGGGGCTTGCCTGCTGCGCCATGGTTTGTTGCTGATACACTCAGCTGTTCTTCCGCCCCCATCTAATTTTCGGTCTTCTCTTTCTTCATCACAGCGTCGAAGGCCACCGTTGCCTTTCTGGATACCACAGTACCGGCTTCAAGACATCCCGTTCACTTCGCAATGCTCCTCTAAGTCGGCCTCCGCAAGACTACTCAACTGACTCGTGACCGCCGACCGCTTCAACGACTACGTCCTTCTTTGCGGCGGCAATTCTCTGTCTCCCCTTCCTCTCTGTCTAGTCCAGGAACAGTCGCGCGCGTGCTGGACTCAATTTTTGATATAATCCCGGTTATCTTTTCGACATGTCTTCCGGGACTCCGAGCAGCAGCAGCTCTGCTGGTTTGGGACAAAGTCCGCACTCCCTCCCCAGCGGCAAAGGCACCACCACTCCCCCGAAAGTGACCCAGCATGATGCGACCGTTGAACTTAAAGACATGAAACCGGAACGCGCTGGTGTCAAGGGCTCAATCCCCATTGGGGAGGATGTCATGCAGATTGCCCGTATAGGAGAGATCGCAGTTATGCAGAAAATGTTTGATGAGAAGAAGTCTCACCCCAACTATAAGGACGAAGAAGGAATCACCCCGTTACATGTGCGTGTTACCAATATGTCTTTCGCACTTGTCTTTTGTATTGATTCCGAACTAACAACGCTATTTTCCTCTTCTAGTGGGCCGCCATCAACAACCAATATGCCATGTGCAAGTTCCTACTCGACTCTGGCGCCGACGTCAATGCGAAGGGAGGCGAATCTGTCGCTACACCCGCGATGTGGGCAGCTCAACGTTGCCACTATTATATTGTGCATCTTTTGCTTCAGCACGGCGCGGACCCTCTTCTTACCGACGTCCAAGGCTACAACATCCTACACCTAGCTACTATCGACGGAAATGCCTTTCTGCTTGTGCTTTTACTTCACCAGGAGATCCCGGTGGACGTTCCCGATCAACAAGGTCATACAGGGCTGATGTGGGCGGCATATAAGGGATTCCCCGCCTGCGTGGACCTATTCCTGCGCTGGGGCGCTAATGCCAATGCCGTTGACGACAGCGGCTTAACTCCCTTACACTGGGCTCTGGTCAAGGGATCGTTGCCTTGCGTTCAGAAGCTCATTGAATATGGCGCTGATAGGTTCGCGAAGACCAGGGATGGTAAGACCCCAGCGACGGTAGCGAGCGAAATGAATACCACGCGTGTGTGGTATCGTGCTCTGGACGAGTGTGGCTATGACTTCGATGGGAACACGAAGGTTCTTCCCTTCGGATTGACGCCTTGGGTGCGGAACAAGAGCACCATGTCTAAGTTCTTCTTCTTGTGGCCTTTCTTGATGATTTTCGTAGCCGTCTGGGTTCTCAGTAACTTAGTTGTGTTCGCTGCTATCCCTATTATGATCGCAACAGCTTATGGACTTCAATGGTTGGCCCAGAAAGTGGCCAGTCAAAGCATTTCAGAGTATAGGATACTGCAAAAGACGGTACGTCAACGGTTACCCCTTGCATCTCCTCACTCTGTTCGTCACTGATCCGCAACCCAGCCTTACCTATCGGGCGTTTTTGCAGGCTCTTTGTTCTGGGTTGGTGTGAGATACATCTTCTACGTGCTGCCAGGTGAGGCTTTCCCTGCTCTTCGTATACATGTTTTGAATCCGATTTCCAACGGGATTATGCGAAGCCCCAGCCAAGAGTTTACTAATAGTCACTTTTGCCAGCCACATATACCACAAATCCCATCTCGAATATCTGTTTTGCTCTGTTCTTCTCAGCAACAACATATTTCTACTTCACCGCGATGATTGAAGATCCTGGGTTTGTCCCCAAACTTGGCAGCAGAAACCAGCAGCGAACAGTTATTGCGGAACTTTTTGAGCAGTGGAAATTCGACGAAGAGAACTTCTGCGTTGCGTGCATGATTCGAAAGCCTTTACGGAGCAAGCATTGCAAGCGCTGCGGGCGCTGCGTTGCAAAACATGACCAGTAAGACCCTAATTGAGACTGGAGTTAAAAGCTCAAACATTGACATCCTGAATAGTCACTGCCCATGGATTGATAACTGCGTAGGCGCCAACAATCTGCGCCATTTTGTATTATACATCACGTGTCTTGAAGCGGGTATAATTCTTTTCGTGCAGCTGACATACTCCTGTAAGTATCAACTCCCCTTCTTCTCCGGATCAAAGACTAACGGCTAGTACAGACATCAATGTCTTGCCAGCACCCGTCAATCCTACCTGTAATGTGATTAACGATGCGCTATGTGATTTTGTACTTCGTGATACATTCACCCTCGTCCTTGATGTGTGGGTCATCATTCAGCTGGTCTGGGTCACTATGCTCTGTGCTGTTCAGCTTGTCCAAATTTCGCGGAATCAGACGACATACGAAAACATGAGGGGCCATTCGATTGACAGAAGCTACCCAAGCTCTCGTGCTTTTGCTTCGGCTTTGGCTGCAGGAACTACCTCACTCGATGCTGCTGGCCTTTCCTCTGCTGGCCAGGGACCGAATCCAGCTCTTGCCCATGGCCACCGGCACCGGAGGGGCGGTTGTCTGAAGCAGTGGACTTCCCTTCTCGGCATTGATGCCTTCTTTGCGACAGCAAGGGATGGGTTGCGAGATGGTCCACGTGCTTCTCGGGCGAAGAATCCCTTCTCTCGTGGTGTAGTCACCAACTGCCGGGACTTCTGGTGCGATCCGGCTCCATACTTTGGACAGCGGGAGGCGGGATCTGGCATGCTCGGTGGTGAAGCAATCAACTACAACCAGATGTACGAGATGCCGTCACGTATGCACAGCGGCGGAAGATATCGGAGCCTGGCAGACGAGGACCCGGAACGGAATGCATAGATGCGTTCTTGTGTCTTCGATTGACTGACCATTTAGGGTTCTCAATATGCCCTTCAGACGACCAATAACTTCCGAGGAGATGTTTCGATCTTCTATATGCGATCTAATGAGTACCGGATGAGCCTTTCCTTCTGATGATATGTTTGACTGGAATAGATGGTCATGGATTCGGTTTTGACCCTTCATGCCCTCACATAATCTTCATGTATTATCTTCTGCATATAAAGATCATGATATATTAGTAGATACCTTTACTTTAGACCAAATATAACCTGGCAGATTACTGAATAGCATACATTGCAGGCTAATCTATCCAACCGGAGAAAAAGAAGTGGGTGTAATCATCACCTTGCTATGAAGCTAGAGGGTGCTTTTTCGAGATGACAGGGAACGGTGTAAGGACCGCCAACCAACTTGAAGCCCATAATAGCGCAATGCACTGAGTACAACTGCTTTGATTCAGCCTAAGAACTTAAGGAGTGGATAAAATTACAAAGAGTGAAGTGTGAGACGGGGGAAAGGGGAGAGAGAGAGAGAGAGAGAGAGAGAAAGAGAGAGAGAGAGAGAGAGAGAAAGAGAGAGAGAGAGAGTGAGTGAGTGAGTGAAGGATACATACCACTGCAAAAGGGTAATAATAGAACAGGATGAGGATAGTTAACCGTAAGTAAGTAACGTACATACAGCGTCTATACAAGGTTCATACATACGAAGATAATCTCCACACCCGCGCCCCATACTGAACCAAGCTTCTGAAGCCGAAAAAGCCGATGTCGCAATAATAAAAATTACAGAGTATGCATGCATGTATGCATGTTATGTATGTATTCTTCGTTTTTTCTTCCGTGTCTAAACCTTGGAGAAACTTTTTTCACTTTGGAGTAAGGGGAATGGGAATGATTGGTCTGAAACCTATTTTTCGTCTGGTTGTGGCTTTAAAACCTTAGACCCAAAGTCAAAATGTCACGCTAAGATCTTATCTCGGCAGGAGCGGTTTCATTGATTGATTTGATTGTATTTTTTTTGCTGGACGTACTTGACGGTAGGTGCCCTTTTTGACTTTCAGACTTTTGTTACTCCCAGAGTCGTTTTTTGAGTCGTGGGGTGTATGTCTTCCTTCTGCCTTTCCTTTTTTTCTGTTGTAGGTAGATTAATCAAGTATGTATCTATCTACATCGATACATATCCCAAGTTCAAAAAAGTCCATCTAGGCAGACAGCCACCTACCTAACTTCCCTCGTAAGTAACCGCAAGCCTGTGCGGTGGGTCTGTCTGTCTGGCTTCCACACACACGCTTGCAATCCCGGACTTTTCAATTTCATTGGGTATCTACATTATGGTATAAATGTTCCCGGGACCACTCTTCGTCACGACCTGAAGCTGGGCACTACATAATTAGTAGAATAGAAAGAGATTTAGTGGCACCAAGTTACGAATTAATATGTGATATGATCCATGGATCACGGATCCAATATATTATTATCTGATTGAAGCGGTCAGGCCACCGCTTCGTCCAAGGCAAGTGGGCTGTATGTTTTTTATTTCCATCTGATAATGATATGAAGAAACCATGGATCCATGGAACGGTAGGTGTTGGCCTGATTGATTAGGGCAAGGTGGTGAGGTTGTTGAGGATGGGTTTGATGTTTGCTTCCTATTCGCTTTTATGCAAGGGTATATAGGCTACAGTGATTGTTGACTCGAATTTTGTTGGTTGTTTTGTTCGTTACGTATTATATGGGGGACATGTGTAGTGGTTCCTAACGATTAAGTTTTTTGCTTCATAGTATGTAGAATATAGATTCATGCATCAGATGATCAGGGTCTT